ATATGGGATTTTCTGGATTAATACATTCACTTTCAACAAAACAAATCACAACTGTTTACATTTGAAATGCTGCGTTTTCTGGAAAATATACACCCATTTTGGAATGGCATCCAATTTTTCTAAACTACTTATGAACTCACCAACTTAATTGTTGACACTTTTTCTTTGAAATAACTTGTATTCTCAGGGAACCGCTAAGCAGGTTTGAGAATCAACTTTTGGGATTAACGTGCGGGCGTTAATTACTTCTTTTGAATGATGTTTATGTATTTATCTTTTGAACATGTAACGAATACAATTATGTAAACATCTTGGATACTTTAATATATATGGTGGTGTGTACTTTCCTTTCTATGAACTGTTATGATACTGAATATGACGTCCTCCGCCCCCGAACGTTTCCGCCGTTCTGGTTTGGGGGTGTGACAAATATAAATAGTGTAATACAAAGTTTATTGGATCAGTATTTTTTATTAATAGCTCATTCAAAACAACTTATTTATTATTTTATCGAATAAAATATTATTGGATATAAGAAAAGTAGAAAGCAAATATTAAAGAGTATTTCAATTATATTAATGTTATACAAAAACTTATAATATATATTGGATAGTATAAAAGTAAAAGCAAAGTTTATAAGGTGTGGACTAGATAGTATCAAAATATGAGTTGATGGACTTTTATATTATTTGATAATTCGGTTAATGGTAAAAACATGACCAAAAACGTAAATTTCAACATATTTTTATTTTTACTCATAATTATTTTAATCATTTAAATGCATTCATGTGCAACGCGCGAGGTTACACCTTATATATATATATATATATATATATATATATATATATATATATATATATATATATATATATATATATATATATATATATGGGCTAGATTATAATATCGATGACATATATTGTGCGGTCCTAAAAACAATTCTAGGCCAATGAATGGAGAAAATGAAAGGATTTGATATTAGGGCTTATGTTATTAATATGGAGTAGCATATACCATATAATTATATAAATTTCTTTAAAATGGTAATTTAGTCAATTAAACCTGATATAAAAAATGAAAATTCTGATCTTAAGGGATCATTAATTTCTTAAATGAAAAAAAAATCTGATTTTTAAAATTAATTCCATTTCGAAATTAACATGATTTTAATTAGTTTGATTTATTTTCTTAAAGAATACAGATTCATTCTAAATATCTTTTTAGATTTAATATAATTTCTGAAAATTCATATCCATTTTTTCTTTAAGAATTCAAGGTTCATAAAAATCATTTTTTTCGAATTTTTTTTCCAACCTTATTAATTTAAGGTTCACAAAAGTTGATTTATACACATATTCGATAAGAATTTTCTATCATTATTGTAGAATGATTGTGTTTTTTTCTCAATGTTCTTGAAAAGTGTTAAGATTATACACATGTTTTTTTAGAGTTAGTTATAATTCTTATAGAATTGTTGTGGTTTTTCCGATGATCCTAAACAATATTAAAATTATACAAATATTCTTTAAGAATTTATCGTCATTCGATTAGATTATACATGTATTCTTTAAAAATTAATATATTCTATAAAAATTCTCGTCATTCTTAAAGAATGGTTAAGATTTTTTCAACTACCTTGAAGAGACTATTATGACAATACATATTAGATACATTATTGACGTTTAATATTCATTCTTGTGTACTAAACAAACTATAAAGGTAGAGAAAGACAGTCAAATCAGGTCCATATTCAATCAAATTTACTTCTTCATAAAACTATAGATCCTTCCAACTTAAAAGTATCATCTCTGTCTTGAAAGTGCAACATCGCTTTGTTGTCTACAAAATATAAAACTTGAAACTGTTATACATATTTTTTTTTATCAAAATCCTACTTTTTATTAACAACCGCATTCTTCAACATCGCTAAATTTTTTGTCAATGACCATGATTTACCAGTTTATGAAAAACATATATATATATATATATATATATATATATATATATATATATATATATATATATATATATATATATATATATATATATATATATATATCCTTAAAAAAAACCTATAAAAAAAGACTAAAATTATTCGTAACAAACAACATCATATAAAATTAGGAAAATAAATAGGGTTGAGATAATCTACCTGGTTTGCTAGAGAACCCAATAGTAGAGTTTTAAACTAAAGCATAGTAGTTTTATATTTTAATTACCAATTACACATAGTTTCAAAATTAATTACCAAAACATGGCAATGTTATTACGACCCCACTTTTTAAAAAAAATGTAAAAAACAGTGAGTTTTGATTACCTTAATGGCTACCATAAACATTTGCACGAGGGTTTAGAAGGTGGATGTGGTGCAAATATGGTGGAAGTAGTCCTATAATTTTGTTATTGGTTCATTAAATGCACCTGGTAAATAATCGAAGATCGTGAGATGCGATGATTATTGTGGCGGTTCCTTCTATATGTCATCATCGAGACAGAGACGAAAAGAGGGAGATGGTCAATGAAGAGGGTATGAGGGGGTTGGATGATGACGGTGGTGATGTTTATGAGATGTATTAATGGGATTTAAGGGTAACTTACCATTATTTTAGGGATTTTCCATATATATCCTCATTTACTTTTAGATATTAATTAACATATCCATGTAATATTATTAATATAATCTTATTGGTTTAATTAATAATTTAATTTTTGTTAACTTCTGATTGTTCCTTACGAGCACACAATAATTTTCAATCCACATATAAACCTAGCTCGTGTGTGTGTGTGTATATATATATATATATATATATATATATATATATATATATATATATATATATGGGTAAAGTGAATATACCTAACAACCTTATATAAGCTTAGGTACCTAACCTCATCAAATTACATCATTTTGCATTAAATTTTCATTGCAATCATCCAAGGTTCTTAAACTTCATCCCTAAACTTTATTTACTTCAAAAAAAAATTGGAAATTCATCATTATATTTCTCCTGTATTTTTTTGTTTGTAGCGATAGGATATAAAGTCCATCAGGTGGTATTCAATAGAAAGACGTGATGTAAAAGAAAGATATTGGTGAAAGTCCAAAGATTTTGGAAGCAATCAAGTTATGGGGTTAAAGTTTAAGAACCTTAGGCAATTACAATATAAATATCATACAAACCGATGTCGTATTATGGAGTTAGGTACCTAAGCTTATATAAGGTTGTTAGGTATATTCACTTTTGTAACGGTAGTATATGAAGCCCACCAGGGGGTCTCCGATATAAAGACGTCATTTGAAGGAAGATAATGATGAAAGTCTAAAGATTTTGGAAGCAATCAAGTTATGAGGTTGAATTTTAAGAACTTTGGGTGATTACAATGCAAATATGAAACAAAATTACATAGGATGATGTGGTTAGGTACCTAAGCTTATATAAGGTTGTTAGGTACACTTTACCCTATATATATATATATATATATATATATATATATATATATAGCGTTCAATCGAAAACATTTGAAAACAAATTTGGACCACACAATTTTTTTAATTAAAAATATAAAATAATATTCATATAAATTATCAAATAGTTAAAAACAATTAAAAAAACTAATTAACCAACACCACCCACTAACCACCATCAACCCATGGCCACTCACCAACCACCACTATGAACCACCACCACCTGCCTCCACTACCCGCAACCACCACCATCACCCGCCGCCACCACCACTTGCCACAACCACCCAGGACCATTATTAGGTTGTTCAAGTTGCAATCAGATTGATCCAGTCCGTTTAGTTCTAGGTTGTTCAAGTTGCAATCGGATTGTTACAGGTCGGTTAGTTGTCTAGTTCAGATCAGTTCTCAGTTCTCAGGTTGTTCAAGTTGCAGTCGGATTGATCCAGTCCAGGTAGTTGTCTTTGTAACCGGTGGTTAGACATGTCTTGGTTCTAGGCGGATGCCATGTAATAGTAGGTTTATGTAATCGTATCGTAACATATTGAGCTTATTTTTACTTTTTCTAAATGTTTGAAAAATTACTCCTATTGATTCAATTACCCATTAATTACACATTTTGTTATGAGTTATAAGCTAATTATTGTACTTGATGTGTTATGTGTTATAATTTCGATCCAACCAGTCCAAAATTTAAAGAACATGTGTAATCGGTTTTGGTTCTAGACAAATAAAATGCGTACATGACTATGCTCACCATGACAATTGAAAAGAGATAATAAGAATGTTGAAGGCATCTTCAAACCATTTTACATATTAAGTTGAATTAACCATTATAAAGTTACAAGCAACACATCTAACTTTGTAAATTAATAACTGTTTGCAAATATTTGATTAGTTATTACGGTTTTGAATTATATATAGTTTTTTCTTTCTCAACCGTAATATATATAAAAGTAAGCAAAGAAGTGGATTCATTACATTAAAAATGTTAACATGGTGGTTGTTCCTTTGAAAGGGGTGAAACAGGATGATTATAAGCATCATCTTTTGACAGATCCACAGGCACCAGATATATACCGATTGAAAAGGGTTTTGCCCAAAGGTAACAAAAAGAATTTCAAAGGGTGGACACCATAAAGAATTTGTCATTCCCAAAAGAAAAAAGGCACCATTTGATGCAACAACAAAACTATAATGTAAATGGCACTCAAGTGACCAAAAGATACAAAGTAACATCTAAAAGCAGATTATAATAACTGTTCTAATACCAAATCACAATTAGTGAATGAGATAATCCACATAGATTCAATCTTCGACTTTAGATGGCATTGAGAAGGATTAATTTCAAGCAGCAGAAAGTAGGAGAAAACACAAGATATAATCCAGACAAATTTACAGATTCAATCCGAAATTGTAGATAGTGTGCATAGAAAGTAGGAGAAAACACAAGATATAATCCAGTCAAATTTACAGATTCAATCCGAAATTGCAGTGTGTCGTAGACAAAAGTTACTACAAACCATGAAACTTTCACTTACCCGCGGGCTTTAAGATCTGCAAGGCGCCTGGAAAGGTCATCCTCCTCAACCTTCTCAGTGTTCTTGGTTGGCACTGCGTGAGCAGCAGGTTGTGGCAAGCCCACAGACACCTCCAGACCATAATCATCCGCAACTTGCTGCATCAAGCTGTTGACCTCTCCTTCTGGAGTCGAAAGAGAAGTGCTTCCAGCCATGGAGCTCTCCATGAACTCCGCCTGTACTTCCATATTCACAAACTGGCGTTCAAACTGGTCCATGGTCTCAGACATCTTCTGTAAGTTACCCGTGGCTAGGGTTGACTCGAGAGACTTTACGATCGATCCCATAGACTTGCTGATCGTTGTCATCTTGGCCTGCGTATCGAGCCTTGCGACGACTGCATCAAGACGTGAGGATAAACGAAGGTAATTCATCTGTTCGCTACGCTTACGGATCGCGTTTTCGGCGTAGATCCGTGCTCCGTCCATGTTACCTTTCTCGATCGCTTTCTTGACTTTAAGTTTCTCGGATTTCTCGTCTTTCTCGCACTTTCTTGCTTGACGTTGGAGGCTCTTGGCGGTGAACTTAAGCTCCATGATCTGGTTCATTAATTTCTCAGCTTGCCCCATGATTTTTCGTTGATCTTTTGAGAATCAGAAGAAGTTGATAAAGAAGTGGTTAACTCGATCGTTGGATTGAATCTGATGCTTGATTGTAAAGCCCTCTTTTGAGCTAGGGTTTGAATGTGTAGGAATTTTCTTCGGTCTTCAATAGGGGGTTTTGCTATTTGTTGGAGACGGGATCGCGTAACGTAAACGAATGACCGTTGGTTTGGTGGGTCCCGATATCACACGCTTTGATCCGTGTGTGAAATCATAATACGATGTCGACAATGAATAAGTTTTAGGGATAACGATTAAACTAATTTTTATAAACGAGTTAATTAAAAAGAATACCTTTTTTTGCAGAATATGAAAAATCAATTGTATGGGAATGTCTCGTTCCAACCCGTTATGAGAGTTTCAAAGTTGGTGGATGGGAGATTAACATGAAGGCATTTAGGAATATGAAATCTTATATTTCGGATTGAGATTGTGCATTTTATACTCATAGTGCAATATAAAATATTAGGTTGATATTCATAAAAACCATGAAAATCACTGTTAAGAATATATATATATATATATATATATATATATATATATATATATATATATATATATATATATATATATATATTGATAATTTTAAGGAAAAATGACGTAACGGTCCTATTATGTATTTAATTTCATTTATTCAATCTCTAAAAATATTTTCGAGCTAGTTAGGGGAACAATGTGGTTTTTGTCGGGTTGGTTTCTCTCTCTCCCCTCCCCCCCCCCCCCCCCCCCCCAACACACACACACGCACATACAAACCGAATCAAGCACATAAATTCAAGAACTCATCCTATTCTCTCTTATATCTTCTTTTCTCTTTTTAGAACCAAGAACACTAGATCTCGTGATCTGGAAATCGATCCCAGAAACAGATTTGTTCTTTCTCTCTGAATGAAGACCACAATAATGAAAGGTTTTTTCTTGAGTTTAGAAACACACACACACATTTGTGAAAATCGTTTTTTTCTTTCTTTCTTAGATCAATATTTGTAGAATTTGATTTTTCTTGTTCTTTCTTCCAAAAAGAAACCAGGTACACGATGAACCCAGAAATCAATGAACCAAGAACATAAAATTTATTTGAATTCCAGAAATGTCTCATCTCAAAAGTCCAAAAACAACTCCCTGAAACACGAATTTTGTAACATCCTGTTTTAAGTCTATTCATATTCAGGACCCTAACCTGAATATATGTTAGCAGGAGGCTTCAGATCTTGGGGAATAAATATTTAGACCCCTTTGAGTGTAGGTAATGTAGCTTAGATGATCTGAGAGTTTGGTTCGTGTTTTTGGAAACCAAGGGTATATCGATAAAGTGTCGGTTCGGGCCTTTTATGGAATTAGATTTCTGTTCAGAAAGTTTTATGGAAAGGGGGAGTTGATGGAAAGGTAGAGCTCTTCGAGACCTTTCCGCGGATGTAAAGAACGTCGAAAACAGAGTTGAAACGAACGAGTTATGACCGTTTGAAGTTAGAGTGGGTCGGGTGAGTGATCGTTGACTTGTTGACCAAGCTCGTTAAAGGCTCACGATGTGAGCATGAAGAGCTCACGACGTGAGAAGCACCTTGTAACAACGTAATTTTTCAAAACAATTTTCATTTCTTAAAAACATATTTTCATCCAAATCAAACCATAAAATCCAATGTATCATAATCATAATACAAAAAATGTCAAATCCCAAGATCAAATAAATCCAAATCTGCCTGCGTGTGTGTGTACGAGTCATGCCGGCGCCTTCCCATGGTTATCGCTAGTACCTGAAACACATAACACAACAACTGTAAGCATAAATGCTTAGTGAGTTCCCCAATATACCACTTGCACACATACGCCCTTCCGGGCCATGACCTTTCGGTCCATGTGTCTCAAGGGACTTCCGTCCCGACCCGGTAAACCTTCCAGTCCCACCCGTGTCGACCTTCCGGTCCATAACTCCCTGACCTTTCGGTCTATATCATAATGCCTTCCGGCCCATAACATAATGCCTTCCGACCCAAATCAAGCATATCATACATATCGCATACAAACAGGCAACTCATAACATACAATGCATATATCTTATAGCATACCAAACCTTCTGGTCACACATAGGTACCCTTCTAGGTACAGTATAGTGAGAAGACTCACCTCGTATGATGTCTAAGTCTCTCGTGCTCGATATTTCTGAATCTCGTAACCTCAACCTAGCCTCGCCTAATCACATCAAATAATCATTCTAAATCATTAACGGATCTCAAGGCTATACTATATTCCTTCTAAAATTCCTCAGAAGGGTGAAAGACCATTTTACCGCTCCCTAACCCAAAAGTCCACATGTTGACTTAAACCCTAAAAGTCAACAAAATTCAATAGCAAGCAGTACGCGGGGTGTACCAGCTCCTGTACGTGGGGCGTACTCTTGCCTTCCAGAAACGGGGTAAGCAACCCCTTACGCTGCGTGTACTGGGATTACGCCCAGCGTAATGCCCAGTTTCTTTGTCCAGCATATTCAAGTCTTAAACGGTTAAGACTTGCATCCAAACTTCAGATCTGACCCCTCTAATATGTCTTAAACCATAAAGTTGAAACCTTTATGCCTTTGCATGGCTGTAAAGATCACTTTGAGCTCAAAACACATTTCCTCTTTCCATAATGAGACTATAACTCATGCATACCACAAGATCCACGTCCAAGACTCGATTTTTATGACTCCTCAACACATTTTACACTAGAAAAGGTCAGATCTAAGCTTATGGAGACTCTTTGCACATAAAGTCTCCAACTTTGAACCAAAACGCTAACAAATGGTCCAACAAGCAAAACTGATGAAGAACGAGGAAAGCTTTGAGCTTTTTACCTCAGAAAGGATCTCCAACCACTGTAGAACTCGGATCTATACTCGTTCTTCAACTTCTAGCTCCAACAATGGGTCCCTATTCTCCTTCTTCACCTTGAAAAGACAACTTCAAGCTCAAGAACTCACACACAAGCTAAAGCACGAATCTCAGCTCTCTAAGGGTTCTCTCAAGGGTGTATGGTGGCTAGGGCAAGGGACTACATGTTCCTTTTATAGTGCAAGGCCACAATTTAGGGTTTTACATCTAGGCCGGTTACGCCCGACATAACCTTGGGTACGCCCAGCGTACCCGGATGAACACGCGTATGAATTAAGCGCATGAGTACGCGCGGCGTACGCCCAACGTACTCACCAAATCATCTTTTCAACTTCAAGGGACTAAAATTCCAACTCTCCAGAATAGAAGGGCCATAAAGCTAACCTGGAATTCGGGCTGTTACACACCTGATGCCCCAAAACCCTTATTTTCGGGTATTTAAAGGTATAAGATGATTAGGATTGAGCCTCCCCAGCCTCCTTCACTTCCAAGACCTCTGAAAACCCTAATCTCATACCATATTGAAGTTCTTGGTATTATTCAAGAGCTTTTAGGAGAAGATGATCATTTGTGGTGCATTTTTAGCATCTTGGCTTCATCATCAGCTAGTTGTGGAGCTTTTGGACCTTTGTAAGTCCTCAAGCTCATGCCTTTCCTTTTTCTTGCTTGCTAGATCTAAGTTTATGTGTTTTTTATGGCTTGTAATGTTGGTTAGCATGCATGTGATCCATAAAGTTGGCAATTTTATGGATCATGGTGGTATCTTAAGTCTTATAAGTCTTGGATCTGGATTTTGGTTATGGTTTTGGACTCCAAGCTTGAGTCTTGGTCCTTTTACCTCCATTTTGACCTAAGTTGGTGTTTGAGTCATGTATTGGACATACATGACTGAAAATCTTTGATTTTTATGGTCCTTGGGGTCAAGGAAGACCCTTTAGACTGTCCCATATTAAGGCTTAATGGATTAGGAGCTTAATGCTCATTTTTGGTCAGATATAGACTCACAACGTGAGGAATAAGACCTCACGATGTGAGAGCATACTCGGGGAAGTTTTTGGGCAAAAGTCACGACCTCACAATGTAAGCATAAAGTGCTCACAACGTGAGAACCTCCTGTGCAAGTTTGGGCTCTTTGATTGTTGGCTAGCTTGGTCTTGGACTTATCTTTTGGTTTAGGCTCATAATGTACTACGGATTTTAGAGTAATGGACTTTTGTTTGGGCTAACCTTGCTAGGTATTCCCTAATGGGCCTTGGATGGTGAATTAGGCTTTAGTGGGCCCAGTGGATTTGGTGTAATACCCGTAGATCCGAGCTACTCAATTTAGAGATAATAGTGGTCGAAAATGACTTTTTGACAAAATATTATTTAAAATAAATAATCTTAATCAAGTTGTAGAATATGTCTCAAGGGTTCCGTACATATAAAGAGTGCCGAAATCCGAGTTATAACGAAGAAGTTATGACCCGTCGAAGTTTCGCGACGGAACCTGCACGACACCTGGAAGATGTAAATAGTGAGTTTATGATAGAGTGACTTTTAACCTTAGTGATCTAAATTAAATTCATAGAATATGTTAACCTGAGAGCGTCCATAAAAGAACGCCCAAATCTGACTTCGTATGAGGAAGTTATGATTTTTCTAAGATTTGGCTTAGCAGTGCACAGCCCGAAACTCGAATTTTAGTTCGAGCGGTTTTTGGCTTACGCGACCTAAATCAGAGTTGAAGATCTCATTAATAGGAACTCAATTGTAAAAATACAGACGAAAATGGAGTCTGTATGAAGGAGTTACGAATTTTCCGCAGTCATTTAACAGTCTAATCTTCTCATAGTGTTAAATTTAAGATCAGTCGAGAATTAGCCAATGGAGTCAAAATGAAACTTGTAGATCTTATTTTTACCTACGCGTGGATATAAAGAACGTCAAAAACAGAGCTCGTATGTGAAAGTTACGGATTTTAGAAGTCGGAAGTGTGTTGTGCGAAAAATGGATAACGTGGCACAATCTTGGCCATTGTTTTCTCCCCAAGTCTTGCCACCAGATGATGACATGTGGCACCAAGTTCAGCCATATTTCACCCTATAAATAGAACCT